TGTGTGTGTGTGTGTGTGTGTGTGTGTGTGTGTGTGTGTGTGGTGGGGGGTGGTGAGTGGCGGCTGAGCCAGGGTGCTAACCTACAGCTTTGATAATCTTACCTTCCCATGCCCACAGGGAAGTTTGTGGGGGTGGAGTCAGCCCAGAGCACACCGCCCTCCCAGGCTCCAGAGGAAACCTTCGAGTCGGGCTGGTCAGATGTGCAGGGCACTGGGGGCTCCCTGGAAGAAGAGGAGGAGGAGAGATTCCGGGAAGCGCTGGAGCAGCTGGGGGTGGCCCCAGTCCTGGGCGAGTGAGTTGGCGCTGACTCGGCCCCCAGTTCCCTCCTCTGCTGCCTCCCCCTCTGCATGCTGCCTGTCCACACTGCCCGCGTGTCTGTTCCAGGCCGGGGTCCCTAGGCTGGGACGGGCCCAGTCGTTCTCCGTCAGCTGTGACACCTGGGAGGGGCTGAGCGTGATTTCCCGCAAAATTTGCATTTCAGGAGGCGAACGCGGCTGGTCTATCCAGGGCTGCAGGTGTCTCCAGACGGCTTACCCTTAGGGATGGGGTCAGGGAGCCCCCGCTTCAGCCTCAGCCCCTGTCCTCCTCCTGCAGGCAGCGAGCGGTGCGGACGTTCTGGACCCGATTGCAGCGCGAGCGACCCGAGCTGCTGGGCTCCTTCGAGGACGTTCTGGTGCGCGCGTCGGCCTGCCTGGAGGAGGCAGCCCGAGAGCGGGACGGCCTGGAGCAGGCGCTGCGGCGGTGAGGAGTGGGGCCTGGGCGGCTGGGCTCGGGAGGCGGTAGAGGCGAGACTGGGGTCTGTGGTGCCGGCGGGCTCAAACAGCAGTCCCCACCCCCCCCCCACCCCCCGTCCTCGAAGGCGGGAAAGCGAGCACCAGAGGGAGGTGCGGTGTCTGTACGAGGAGACTGAGCAGCAGCTTCGCGAGCAGCGCCAGCGTCTCCGGAGTCAGGTGGGCCCAAAGCCCCGCCCCCGCCCCCGCCCCGGCCCAATCCCAGACGCGCTAGTCTCATGGCCCCGCCCCCTCAAAATTGGCCCCACCCGGCCCCTCCCCCGGCGCGTGCCCCTCCCCCGCCCGCCTGGGCTCAGGAGCTCCCCGCACATCCCAGGACCTCCCCCGGGAGGAGCGCACAGGCCTCCTGGAGCTGGAGCTGCAGGACCGCGAGCAGGAGCTGGAGCGGGCAGGCCTGCGGCAGCGGGAGGTGAGTGGCCCCCCACCCGCCCCCGCAGGGTTGGGGTGCTGACAGACCCAGAGCGGGACCCTATCCCCGCCGTCACCCGTGCACTCTCTGGTACACTTGAGGTCCCGGTGCCTCAGTGTCCCCGACCCCGGAATTACTGGGAGTCAGGGGCAAGCGCAGCACCCCAAAGAAGAGGTGGAGGGGTCCTCCCCAGCTTGCACTGCCCCCCCCCACCCCCCCGCCCACATCCCGCAGCTGGAGCAGCAGCTGCAGGCCCGGGCCAGCGAGCAGCTGGAGGTGCAGGCGCAGAACGCCCAGCTGTGGCTAGCCAACGAGGCGCTACGAACGCAGCTGGAGGGGACGCAGGAGCAGCTCCACAGGCTGGAGGGCGACTTGCGGAGCCGCCAGGAGCAAACCCCCGGGGGGGGGGGGCGGGGGGGGGGGGGGGGGGGGGGGGGGGGGGGGGTGGGGGGGGGAGGCGGACCACCAGGGGCGAGCCCGGGGTGGGGCTGCGGCCGGCGGGCGAGGCGGGGCGGGAATAGCTTTGGGGGCTCGGGTCCGGGCCACTCCCATCCCCATCCCCCGGCCCGGCCCGGCCCTCAGGGTCTGCGTGGGTCAGGGTCGTGGGGCGCGCCGAGGAGCCTCCCGGCACCCAGGTCACCACCTGTCTCTTGCAGAGATGTGCTCGCTGTGTCGAGGAACATGCAAAAGGAGAAGCTCAGCCTCCTGCGGCAACTGGGACTCCTCAGGTGCGGTCAGGCGCAGGCCGGAGGGGAGGGGCCCCACACAGTTTGGGGTATCCTAGCTCTCAAACGTTCCCGACCACGGCCTCATCCTATTGGGAGGCAGTCGGTCCTCATGTCTGTCCCCCATCCCTCGGGGGCATCCGCAGCCAGGCACCCCGTCTGAGGGACAGCAGAGCCCGCCTTCCTCCCTTGCCCCAGGAATGCTGCCTCTCAGAGCCCTTGGACTCCCCTTCCCCAGGGAGCTGAATGCGAGGCTACGGGATGAGAGGGATGCCTGTGAGGCCAAGCGGTTAGCCAGCGGTCGAAGGAAAGCCCTGGCCATGGCTCGCATGCCGGGCCCCACCTGCTGCTGTTGCTGCTGCTGCAGCTGGGCTCGCCCCCCAAGATGTGGCTCTGGCCACCTTCCCAGTGCCCGCTGACCATCCCCCAGAGACTCACTGGGCATCCCTCGGAGAGGCCACCCCTCGAAGGCGAGGCGTCCTGGCCCATCCAGCATTCGGGCTCGGCTCAGGGCACTGCAGGCCTGCCTGCATGCAGACATGAAGGAACTACCCAGGGAGTGGTGGGGCGGTCGGAGTCTCACGTGCCCCCCTGCGGGGCCTCGTCCTGTCCCATCCCATCAAACGCATCTCTGACCAGCAGAAAAACTCCCTCCTCCTAATAAAGTCCACTGACTGCACTGTGACCTTCTCAGCCTATGTGTATGTGCGTCACAGCATTTCCCTGGTACGCGCACGAGGTATCCATGGTACTCTCAAGGCAACTGGACAGTACACGTGTGGCACATGTCCTGAGGTGCTGGGGTTGTGGATGTTCCTGCCTGTCTCTGGTCATGCTTTCAAGCCCTCACTGTCCATTCAAGCTGAAGCCCCGTGGGGCCCTCTGTGGGAACCAGGGGACCGAGGCCCATTGCCTGGGCCCGCTCCCGGCCCCAGTTGACAATCCCCTCCCCATACCGGTCCTCACACAGCCCCAGGTGGGCCAGCTCAGCCCACTGGAGTTGAGCCAGTCCTGAGTGGGACCTCCTGGGGCAGTCCTGCGGCCGCTTCCCATGCCCGTCCCTCCTCCACCCCCCCCCATCCCCCCACCCTGCCCTGCCGCCTCCCTGGAAGTGGGGAGCTGCTGGCCAGACCGTGAACCATGGGCCAGGAGCTGGGGACCACTATCCATGGAGAGCTTCCAGATGACTGCAGAATCTGACCCACACTGCCTGGGTCTGGGAATGAGCCTGGTGGGTTGGGAGTCGCCTCCCCTTCCTTACTCCCACTGCGGGTTTCCCAACCCAGCAGGTCAGAAGGCTCGGCCCTGTCTACCCCACCCCTTTCCACCCCTCCCAGGACCGATGCCTTCCAGACTGGACTGTTCCAGGCAGGGACCCCAGGCCTCCACTCCAAGCTGTCCTCCATACTGCACCTAGAGCAACTGCACTCCTGCATCTGACTGCGCCCCCAGACCCTACCCCACCAAGCCAGCATCTGTTCCGCCGGCCCTGCAAGCCTCCGGGTGGCCCTGCGTTGTGGGGAGAGAACGGGCCTGGGCCTGGAGGAGGGCCTGCTGGCCTGGCCGCCGCCTCCACCGCCCCCAGCCCAGCTCCTCGGCCTCCCGAGGGCGTGAGCCCCGGCTGGGCTGCGGGCGCCCCCGGGTGCAGCACGCCCGCCTCCGCAGTCGCGGGCGGACCCCAGCGCCCGCACCGGCGGGCGTCCCCGCCGCCCGCCCTCGCGGAGCACTGCCGAGACCTGCCCTGTGTCT